TTTGGTCTTTTTGAGACAGGGTTTCACTCTGCAGTTCAAGCTGGCCTTGAATTCACTTTGTAGCCCAGGCTGGCCTCGAACTCACAGCAATCCTCCTGCTGCAGCCTCGATGACATGTTTTTTGTTGGTTTGGGTTTTATCGTTTTCTTTTTTCTTTTCTTTGTGAGACAAGGTTTCAGTATGCAGTTCAGGCTGGCCTTGAACTCATTATGTATCCCAGGCTGGCCTCAAACTCACAGTGATCCTCCCGTCTCAGCCTCCCAAGTGCTGGGATTATAGATGTGTATCATCATTATGGCTTAATGATATGTTTAAAAAACGTTTTCAGTTTCTAAATTGAAAACTTAAAAAGGGAAATAGCAGACTAGAGCAGATATTTACAAAAGTCAAAGATTAATATCTATAATACACAGAATTGTTCCCACCACTCAATACCAAAAAAACACATAGTTCAATCCCCAGTACCACAAAAGAGCTAGAGATAAAAATAGGCATGTTATATGAACAAGGAAGTCCAAAGGAACTAGAAAAAGCCAAGAACTAAAGAAAAGAGATTTAGAGCTGGGCGTGGGGGCACATGACTATAATCCCAGCATTTGGGAGGCTGAGGCAGGAGGATTGTTGAGAGTTCGAGACCAGCCTGAGCTACAAAGTGAGCTCAAGGCCAGCCTGAACTGCACAGTGAGACCCTGCCTCAAAAAGACAAAAAAAAAAAAAAAAAAAAGAGAGAGAGAGAGACTTAATCTCTCAAGTAACAAGAAGTGAAAATGAAAATAATGAGAAGCCACTTCCCCTACAGATGGCGCTACTTCTCTGAGCCTCTGCTCTACAGATTTGCAGCCCCAGGTTCAATCCCCTGCACTGTACAAATAACAATAGTATTAGTAGTAAGCTAATGCCATGCAGTGCTGATGGAGCTTGTGCAGCTTCCAGGAATGTGACCTACAGCCTCCTTCTCAGCTTCCAATTTTTTTTTTTTTTTTTTTTTTTCTGAGATAGAGTCTTGTAATGCAGCCCAGGCTGCCTTCGAATTCACAATCCTCCTGCCTCAGCCTCACAGGGACTGGGATGACAGGCATCCGCCCACTCCTCCCTAGGTGACATCAGCTCTCAAAGGTCCTTGCTAGGCAGGTGAGCACCCCGCAGCACTGCAGCTGAGAACCCCTCGTGAGAGCCCGGCCCTGACCGCAGGGGTGAGTCTTTGAGTTCCCCGTGGCGGTGTCTGCGACAACGAGTGTGAGGATGTCCCGGGCGTGAGCTGGTAGAGGGGACCGAGAAACTCAAATCCACTCAGACTGCGCGTTTACGTGGCTAATTCAGAACAAGAGCAAGTTGTCTGCGGTGACAGAAACGAGTGTCAAGTCACAGCCCTGCTCTGGGGGGAACGGTGTCCCCAGCACTGAGCCAAGGCGGACGCTCAGGCTCCCAGGGGAACCCCTGGCCTCGATTTTAGTTCCACGCTGGGGACACGGCCTGATGGCATCAGACAGGCCACAGCAGCCCCTCACTAGCTGCGGGGCGCTCGCCAGGCTGCGGCTCAGGGAGTCAGGAAAGAGCGGTGAGCACTGCCTGGGTGGATCCCCCCTGCCGCCTACGTGCTGTGTGACCTTGGGCAGGTGGCGCTACCTCTCTGAGCCTCTGCTCTCTCCAAAGTCCTGCCCCAAGGGAGCAGGGGAGGGAGAGGCCAGGCACCCAGTGCCCAGACAGTGTCGGCGGTCACTGCAGGGAACCAGCGCGTAAGAGCAACTCCCCACCACATTAGCGAAGGGTCTTATGTGCATTTGTGTTTTTAATACACCCAGAAATGCCGGATCTGGGTGAGGCAGGAAGACTGCCGTGAGTTCAAGGCCAGCCTGGACTACATGGGGGAGCCTGCCTCAAAAAATAAATTAATTAAGTAAATTAAAAAATGAAAAGGGCTGGCGATGCAGCTCAGTGTGCAGACCCTGCCTTCAAACCCCAGGCGTGGCGTGGCGTGGCCGGGCTCGCGCCCCCCGCTTCCGCCCCCACTCACCGTTGGTGAAAAGAGGCTCGGGCAGCTTCCGGAAGAAGGACTTAAGCAGGCTGCTGATGACATTGAGGTCCTGCCAGCGCTGGGGAGGGACAGCGGCGTCAGGCCCCAGCCCCGCCCGTCCCGGGTGGGGACACTGGGGGACAGAGCCGAGCGGAGGACCCCCCCACCCGACACCACCCTCCCACGCTGGGGGCCACGACCACAGGAGCCCCGTCCACTGCCCTGTCACCCACGCCACGGCGCTGGTGCGTGGCCGGGGGGGCGGGGCTGACCCTGCCCAGCTCCCGGTCCCCTGTGCCAAGAAGAATCGCTGGTCCAGAGGCGCCTGTCCCAGCATGGGTGGTTGTTGCCTCTTCTATCCACAAGAGGGCGCCGTCACCCCGACCTCGGGGGAGTGAGGAAGGACCTGACCAGGCCAGGCTCAGGCCTTAGGGGCTCCATGGCTTAAAGCAAGGCAACCTGGGAGGCTCAGCATCCCCACTGAACAAGGACGCGGCACCTTGATTCACAGAACCCACTGCAGGTCTCCTTGCGTGGACGTGTCTGCCCCTCACCCATGCCCCTGGGGACCCCAGGCCCCTCCAGCCCAGGCTCAGAGTAGACCCTGACCCAAATCCAACAGGGCCCCTCCCTGAGCCATGCTCCCTTCAAACCCGCCGAGAGCTGCCCCACCCCCACTTCTGCCAGGGCTCTGCTGCCATCCACGCCTTCTGCTCCTTCTCCCCTCTGGACTCCTGAGCCTGAGGGCCTCCGGGAAACTGAGCCCCTGCCCCAGGCCCGGGCATCTGTAGCCATCAGGCATCTGGGTATGAAGTAGACCTACCCTTAGCTTCCCTCTAAGAACTTAGCTAGCCCTGTCTCAGGAGGGCCAGGGATGGCAGCACAAGCAATAATCCCAGCACTCGGGAGGCTGAGGCAGGAGGATCACCACAGAGTTTGAAGCCAGCCTGAACCCTGTCTCAAAAAACCATCCCAGCTCCCTGTCGTCCACCAGATCACGGCCAGTGACTTCCAGTGTCACCCTCCCTAAGGCCAGCAGGTGTACACCCTCACACCCTCCTCTGGGGTCTGGGCAATGCCACGAGCCCACCTGGGTGGCCCTCCTGCGACAGGCCCCTGGATCGAGGGCCCCCTCCCAAGCTGCTCCTGGCAGCCTCTCCCTCCCTGCACACCTCGGGCTCCGCAGAGCACCCTGTCTGCGACCTCCTGCCACCGTCTCCTCTCCCCACTGCCCAGACAGCGACTCAGTCACGGGAGGACGGTGGGACCTCGTTGCCCAGGTTCATGGTTTTCTTTTTTTTATTATTTTTTTCCGGTACCGAGAATTGAACTCATGACCTTGCACTTGCCAGGTGCTGTGCCGCTGAGCTAAATCCCCAGCCCCCGGTTCATGGTTTTCTAGGACAATTCTTTCTCATCAGAGCCTCTTCTGTCAAACAGAATCGGACATGAAAGCCCAGGGTAACAGTGGAGTGCAGCAGGGGTCCTGCCCTGCCCAGAGCCCCCCTCTGGGAACCCTGGGACTCAGGAACACCATTTGAGAATCAAGAACCCTGCTCCAAACTTTGTTTTCTTTCCAGTGCTAGGAACTAAACACCGGGCTACATCCCCACACTTGTTAAATTTTATTTTGAGACGCAGTCTGGCTAATAAGGTGCTAGGGTTGGGCTCAAATTTGTGATCCTCCTGCCTCAGCCTCCCAAGTAGCTGGGATGACAGGCATGCACCACTGTTGTAGACTACAAATTCTTTGTTTTATTTATTCGGTTTTTTGAGACACATCTCACCATATGGTTCCAGCTGGCCTTGAACTCACTCTATAGCCAGGCTGGCCTTGAACTAGTGGCGGTCCTCCTGCCTCAGCTTCCCAAGTGCTGGGACGATGCCATGTACCACTGTGCCCAGCTACAAACTCTTCCGGTTGTAGAATGTGTGCTGCTGAAGCGAGCCCTGGCTACAAAGCTTAAAGTGTGGCTGTCAGCTCGCTCGCAAGCCACTCTCTGCCTGGCCCCTTCCCGAGCAGGCAGCTGCCGGCGCTAGCCTTTCTGGAAACCGCATTCTCTTGGCCCGGCCTGGGGACCGCAGACCGCTGTCCCCACCCTGCCCGAGCCTGCTTCTGCACAGCCCTGCAGCTGCGTGGTTTGCGCACTGCGAAAGGACAGGGAAGGTGCCACAGCTGAAGCTCTGCCGTGGAGCCGTCCCTGGCGTGCGGGAGGCCCTGGGTCTGCTCCTCAGCAGGGCCAAGAGAGACACCCAGAGTCCGGAGGAGTCTGGGTGGTCCCGAGTCCGCAAAGTGGAACCCTGGCAAACACTCGGCCGCACCCACCTCGTCCTGCAGGTTGATGTCGCCGGGCCCGCGGTTGAGCTGCTCCTGCAGGCTGGACACCACCGCGTTGTTGCCCGGCACACGGTAGATGCCGGTGGACTCCAGCCCCCGGGCCTCCACGATGCGGCAGCAGGCGGCCACGATCAGGGGCACATGCTGGGGACAGGGTTAGGGTTAGGGTTAGCAGGTGTCAGGGCGGCAGAGTGGCCCTGCCACCTCCAGTCCTCACCACAGAGTGGGGTGGCCACTGACGGCCATCCCCGCCCTCACGGCCCCGCCCAGGCCCCCCAGCGCCCTGCAGCTCCAGCCTCTGCGCCTGAGTCTCCCCACCTGCCCACCTGGGGACAGCAGAAACCCACCTGGTTCTCCGTGGCCGGCTGGCACTCCTCCAGCCGGACCCCGAAGGCCCGCGGGGCGGCCTTCCTGTTCTTTTTGATGATGTTGATGCCCCAGGGGGCTTTGGGGGCAGCTGCATTGTCATCTGGGGAGGGAGAGGAAGACGGGGTAGGTGGGCACCACCACGTTCACATGCGCTGTGACGTACAGGGGACGCCAGCGGCACATAATCCCCAGTGAGAAGCCCAAGGTGGAGGGCGCCTACCCCAGAGAAAGTGGCTCCAGGCCGCTCAAGGGCTGCTGCATGGCCCCAGGGGCTACAATGCGGGGTGGGGGGGTGGGCAGCAAGATCCACACCCAGGCCTGGCCAGAGGAAGAGCTTTTCAAACAGCCAGGGGCGTAGGGAGGGCCAGGCGTGACCCGGGGACACTCGCAGACTCCGGGGCAGCCGGCCCTCCCAGCCCCGAGGCCTCACAGCCCCACAGAGGAGGGGGGCACCCCCGCCCGCCCCAGCCACCACCTACCCTTGCTCCCCGCGGGCTGCTCCTGGGTCCTGAGGGCCCACGCCGTGCTCTGCTTGAGGAACTCAGACTTGAGCCCCCCCAGGCCCCGAGAGACTTTGGGGGAGGACTCGGCCTTGGGCCCAGAGCCGTGGCTGCGGAGGAAGAGGGGGAGCGGTGTGGGTGGGCCGGGCAGCCCCCACACCCAGGCCCTGGACCCAGGACGGGCACCAGGGCGAGCTCTGCCCCGCCCGCACCCCGAGGCTGCCGCCCGCTGGGCCTCACCTCACTTTGCGGTAATCGTTAAGCTTCTTGCTGATCAGAGCTTGGTTGGCACAGCCGGGGTCCTGGGAAGAGGGGAGAAGAGGTGCCGTCAGGGCCCCAGCCCGCGGTGCTGCTCGTCCTGCCCGCCCCCGCCTGTCCCCGGCCGCCCTGCCCGCCCTGGCCTGGGGGCCCCGGCTCACCTCGCCCTCGGCCCTGCTGTTCTCCCGGATCGCTCTGATCCAGCCCAGCATGTCATCGCGGTCCTCAGCCTGAAAGAGATATTCACAGAAGTCAGCGGTGGTCAGCCGGAACACGTGCCTCCTCTTGGTGTCGCTGTAGGAGATGTCCACCAGGCAGGAGCCGATGCAGACGGGCGCCGCCGCCTCCTCCTCACCTGCGCCGGCCGCCGCAGCCCCCGCCGCCGCCGGCCCGGGCTCCCGCCGCTCCTTGCTCAGGCAGAGCGAGCGTGCCCGCAGCGTGGCGTACACCCGCTTCCACTGGCGCAGGCCGCCGCCCGCCTTCTGCGGAGACACGACACGAGAGGCAGCGTGAGAGCGGGCACGGACGCGGGCAGGACGCTGTCACCCCGGCCCGGCCCCCCATCCAGCTCGTGTGTTCCTAGCCCAGGCCGGCCTCCGACCCTCGGCAAACCTCCTGCCTCAGCGCCCAGTGCTGGGATGACAGGGCCGGGCTCTGCCGCCTTGGGGTAGCTGCCTCCTCTGCTCCCCGCAGGTCCGAGGGTCAAGGACGCCTCCGCCATGCCCCCGAGGCTCCTGTGCCGCTCCCTTCCCAAAGCCACTCTACACGGGCACCGGGTCACACCACCAGACCACGCGCGCACCTGCCTCGGCCGCAGGTCCATCTCTGCGGCTCCTGGGCAGGGAGCTCGCCCACCCGCTCCCCAGAGCCCAGCCGGGGTGAGCGCCCACCAGCATCCACTGAGGAACTAGCTCCAGGGCCCTTGCCGCACCTGGGGCAGGGGCCGCACCCCCACTGGATCAGAGCAGGGTGACCGCCTCATCTGGGTGGGTCCCCCACTGTAGCCCTGCCGAGGTCACTGCTGGCCGGGGCAGGGACACATGGGGTGGGCTCAGGGGGGCCCCTGACAGCGACCTTATCGGAATTCTCCTGGGGGTAGCCCAGCACAGGCCAGGGCGCTCAGCTGCGTGAAGGCTGAGGTCAGGATCTCACTGGGAATCTCAAGCTCCAGGCCAGCCTGAGCCACACAGCGAGAGCCGCCTCAAAACAGCGGGGAATGTAGCTCAGCGGCACAAGCGCCTGCCTGGCAAGTGCGAGGTCCTGAGTTCAATTTCCAGTACCAAAAAAAAACAACAAAAAAAGCCGGGTGCGGTGGCCCTCGACCTCAACACGCAGGAGGTTGAGGCAGGAGGATCACTTCGAGGTCAAGGCCGCCCTGGACTACGTGCCAAGACCCTGTCTCAAAAAACCAAAGAAGAAAACTCGTTCCCAGGGGGACTGTACAGCTACAGGGAAGCGAAGCGGTGCCCCGGGCTCCCCTGAGACTAAAGGAGCCGGATGACGGCGGACTCCCCAAGCCGGCCTGGGCCTCGGTGTCCCTGCTAGCAAGTCTGGGGCCCCCCGTCGGCACGCAGCTCTGCGGCTGCAGGGCCCAGTCAGAGCTCCTTCCCAGAGCTCTGCCTGACAGTCTCAGCCCTGAAGGGCAGAGGACGGCAGCTGGCGAGCAGGGCCCCGCACAGAAGCGGCGTCTGTCACTGACTCGAGGACCCTGCCTCTAACTCCTGACCAAGCGGGAAAGTGACATCTGGTTTTGGCCAGCGAGGGATGGAAGCCCCTGTCCTCGCCGGAAGCACTCAAGCCCCTGGAGCTGGGGATGTGAGCCCGGGGGACCCTCCGGGTGGCTCACGGTCCCTGCTGAACACCGGCTGCGTTATGCACTCCCGCCTCCTGCTCAGCGCAGCGCAACGACCCTCTGTGGTCCCCTCCCGGCCCGACCCAACCCGGCCTGACTGTTGCCTGTGGTTTGCTCAGTGCTGGGGCTCGCACACCACCGAAGTGATCCGCCACAGCAGCACCCGGGGCCCTTCGAAATTCTTTTACTTTGAGGCAAGGTCCCACTAAATTGCCCAGGCTGGGCTTGCACTTGAACACCTCCTGCCTCTGCCTCCCAAGAAATGGGAATCACAGACTTGGGCCGTCGAGTCTGGAGGTGACTGCCGGTTGCTGTTGCTGTTTTTGAGACAGGGTATTGATAAATTGTTCAGCCTGGCCTTGAACTCACTACGGAGCCCAGGCTGGCCTCCGACTCACAGAGAGCCTCCTGCCTCAGCCTCCTGAGGGCTGGGATCGCGGGCATTCACCACCAGGCCGGGCTTCTCCTCTGAGCTTGATAACCGAGGCCTTCAACAAGCCCAAGCCACCTTCCCTCCAGCCTCTCTCCCGTGGTCCCTTTCCCCCGGCCTCACACCTCGACCCTGATCAGGGACCCCCTCCATCACCCAGACAGCAGCCACGGCCCTGTGTCCGGCACCACACCCCCTCTCCATCCCCTTTAGAAACCCCCCAACATGTTCCTGGGTGTCTGACCCCCAAGCCCCACGTCTCCCACCTCTGGCCTGGGCACTCCGGGCACCCGGCTCCAGCACACCCTGCCACTGCCCCCAGCCCCCATGAGCCGCCTCCCCAGACCCTTGCTCCCCTCGGTTCAAGCTCCTAGGCTCCTCAGGGCTCAGCCCAACATCTCCTCCCCAATCCCACCACGCTGCAGAGCCGCAGGACCGCACCGAGTCTGTGCCCCTTAAGTCCCGGGCCACACGCGCTTTCTCTGCGTGGACCTCCTCACGGCAGCCATTGGCGCAGGTGACCCTGTCCCTGGGTCACAGACCAGGGAGGCTCACGGGTGCCAATGTGAGATGCTTGCCAGCGTGATGTCACAGACCCTGGGAGCAGTGGGAAACCCAACCACGGTCAGCCTCCACCTCCACAGGGGCCCAGTCCACCATTCAGGCAAGGAGAGCCAAAGCCTTCTGGGAAAAGCATGGCCTCTGCCATGAACAGACCGCTTTCCTCCATCAGCAAAATAACACGCCTAGCAGTCACACCCCTGAGGGGCCTGCAAGTCCCCGCAGAGATGATTTAAAGCGGGTGTGAACTGGGCATGGGGCGCATCTCTGTAATCCCAGTACTCCGAGAGGCAGAGACAGGAAGGTCTCAA